GATCCCAGGACCCTGGGATCATGACCCGAGCCGAAGGCAGAGGCTTTAACCCACTGAGCCACCCAGGCGCCCAAAACTTAGACTTTTCCATTGATACCAATCATATTAAGGAATTTGGTTTCTTTTTATAACATGTATAATGAAATACATCAATATTTGGAACATTTGCTGAATCAATATTTTCCAAGTGACCAATGCATAATGTTACATAATTATCCCTGGGTAGAAAATCCAACCAAAACGCAACACAGACCATGGGATTTTAATGTAATATAGTACAAAAAAGTAACTGATGTGGTTTCAGATTCCACATTGCAAATAACCCTTAAGAACCTACAATTTGTCAAGTACTAAGGTACTATCAAAGAAGAATATACACAATTACCTGAAAAGACTATAAATATTCTACTCTCCAGCTATGTATCTATGTGAGACTAGATTTTCTTCCCCATATACAGTACTTTAAACAAACCATCCTAGGGGTGCCTGGGTGGCTCAGTGGGTTAAGCCTCTGCCTTCGGCTCAGGTCACGATCCCAGGGTCCTGGGATCGAGCCCCACATCGGGCTCTCTGCTCTGCAGGGAGCCTGCTTCCTCCTCTCTCTCTCTGCCTGCCTCTCTGCCTACTTGTGATCTCTGTCTGTCAAATAAATAAACAAAATCTTTAAAAAAAAAAAAAACATCCTATAATAATAGATATAAAACAAGTAGATTCTGAGAATCCATACGTCCTCTATTAAATCAGGTATTATATTAAAGAGATTTGTAAAAATGTAAAATAACTGCCATCCTCTCATTAATTTAGGGAGGTAAATATAGTCTTCATTTAAAAATATTTACGTTCAAAGTAGAAAGGTTCTGGGACACCTGGGTGGCTGAATCGGGTAAGCATTTGCCTTTTGTTCGGGTTATGATCCCAGGGTACAGGGATTGAGTCCCGTTGCAGGCTCTGTGCTCAGACCGGAGTCTGCATCTCCCTCTCCCTCTGCCCAACACCCCCCCGCCCCGGCTTGTGCGCTCTCTCTCAGATAAATAAATAAAATCTTTCTTTTTTTTTTTAAGATTTTATTTATTTGACAGAGAGACACAGCAAGAAAGGGAACACAACCAGGGGGAATGGGAGAGGGAGAAGCAGTCTTCCCACCCATGCACCCCCATAAAATCTTTTTTTTTTAAAGCCTTCCTATAAAAAAAAAAATGGACAAAAAAATAGGTTTTGGGCACCTGGGTGACTCAATCGTTAGGCGTCTGCCTTCGGCTTGGATCATGATCCTAGGGTCCTGGCATCGAGCGCCACATTGGGCTCTCTGCTCAGTGGGGAGCCTGCTTCCTCCTCTCTCTCTGCCTGCAGCTCTGCCTACTTGTGATCTCTGTCTGTCAAATAAATAAATAAAAATCTTTTAAATAAAAATAAAAAAATAAAAATTTTTAAAAAAGTGAATGGGATAACATATTTGCAAATGATATATCTAATAGAGGTTAATATACAATATATGTAAAGAACTTACACAACTCAACACCAAAAGAAACAATCTGATTAAAAATTGGGCAGAGTGGGGCATCTGGGTGGCTCAGTGGGTTAAGCCTCTGCCTTCAGCTCAGGTCATGATCACAGGGTCCTGGGATCAAGCCCTGCATCAGGCTCTCTGCTCAGCAGGGAGCCTGCTTCCCCCTCTCCCTCTGCCTGCCTCTCTGCCTACTTGTGATCTCTGTCAAATAAATAAATAAAGTCTTAAAAAAAAAAAAAAAACGGGCAGAGGACCTGACCATACATTTTTTCCAAAAAAGACATACAGATAGCCACAGACACATGAAAAGATGCTCAACATTATTTTTTTAAAAGATTTTATTTATTTATTTGACAGAGCTCACAAATAGGCAGAGAGACATGCACAGAGAGAGAGGGGGAAGCAGGCTCCCTGCTGAGCAGAGAGCCTGATGCGGGGCTCGATCGCAGGACCCTGGGATCATGACCTGAGCCGAAGGCAGAGGCTTAACCCACTGAGCCATCCAGGCGCCCCGATGCTCAACATTATTAATCATTAGGGAACTGCAAGTCAAAATCACAATGACATATCACTTTACACCAGTCAGAATGGCTAGTATCAATAAGACAAGAAATAACAAGTGTTGGAGAGGACGTGGAGAAAGGGGGACCCTTGTACACTGTCAGTGGGAATGTAAATTGGTGCAAATACTGTGGAAAACAGTATGGCGGTTCCTTAAAAAAATGAAAAATAGAAATACCACACAATCCAGTATTTCCACTACTGGGTATCTATCCAAAGAAAATGAAGACTCTAATTCAAAAAGATATGTGTACCTCTATGTTTATTGCAACATTATTTACAATAGCCAAGATACAGAAGAAACTCAAGCATCTGTTGATAGATAAATAAAGATGTGGTGTATTGAGGGGTGCCTGGGTGGCTCAGTGGGTTAAGCCTCTGCCTTCAGCTTGGGTCATGGTCTCAGGGTCCTGGGATCGAGCCCTGAGTCGGGCTCTCTGCTCAGCGGGGAGCCTGCTTCCCTTCCTCTCTCTCTCTGCCTGCCTCTCTGCCTACTTGTGATCTCTGTCTGTGAAATAAATAAAATCTTAAAAAAAAACACAAAACTTTAAATTAAAAAAAAAAAAAGATGTGGTGTATTGATACACACAATGGAATGTTACCCAGCCATAAAAAAGAATGCACTCTTGCCATTTGCAACAACATGGATGGACCCTAGAGAGTATTTTGAAAGGTGAAATAAGTCAGTCCAAGAAAGACAAATACTATTTGATTTCACGTATATGTGGAATCTAAAAAGAATCTAAAAAAACTAATGGACAAACAACAACAAGGGGCACCTGGGTGGCTTAGTCGGTTGAGCATCTGCCTTTGGCTCTACTCGCGATCTCAGGATCCTGGGATTGAGCCACACGTCGTCGGGCTCCCTGCTCAGCAGGGAGTCTGCTTCTGCTTCTCATTCTCCCTCTACCCCTACCCTCCCATTCTGCGCCACTGCTTGTGCTCTCTCACTCTCTCTCAAATAAATAAAATCTTAAACAGCAATAAAACAGACTCTTAAATACAGAGAACAAACTGGTGGTTACCAGAGGGAAGGTGGGGGGATGGACAAAATACGAAATAGATACAGGGCATTAAGAGGTATAAGCTTCCAGTTATACAATAAATGTCATGGAGATGAAAAGTACAGTGTAGGGAATGCAGTCAGTAATATTGTAATAACATATGGTGACTACAGTCATCGTGGTGAGATTATAGAATTGTTGAATTAATATGTTGTACACCTGTAATTAATACAACATCATATGTTAATTATACATCAATACAAAAACATTTATGTTAACAGGGTTAATGTATAATGGGTTTCCACTGTTTTTAACGAATTTGTAAAAATTTAAATTTTTTCTGTTTCCCTTTTTTTTCATTTTTAAAGGTTTTATTTATCTATGTGACAGAGAGAAAAAGAATACAAGCAGAGGGAGCAGCAGAGGCTGAGGGAAAAACAGGCTCCTTGCTGAGCAGAGAGCCCAATGACGGACTCAATCTCAGGACCCTGGGATCATGACCTGATGCTGAAGGCAGTTGCTTAACCACCTGAGCCACCCAGGTGCCCCTCAGGTTCCATTTTAATACGTTAAGTATTGATAGATATAATCCACTTCAACAAAAGGTTTTTGGATCTTCAAACCCTATTCTTAATTTTTAAGAATATAAGAGGTTCTAAAACCAAAAAGTTTAGGGGGAAAAAAAAGTCTGAGAACTGCTGCACTAGATCATAAGTTCCTTTAGATCCAGACAGTATTAATATTTTTGTGTGCATAAAAAATTTTACCCAGCAGAAGTTTATCAAGTGTCAACTCTTATGCCTGATGCTGTATTACACACTGGGGATTCAGAGTTGAAAAAGTCCCTGTTCTTAGAGGATTCACAGGCCATTGAAGAAGACACATAGGTAGGTACAAGAACAACTCTAACAGAACTATGAGAATTATAGGAGCCTACACTAAGAATACCAATCTATTAGGTGAAGGGAATGAGAGGTGCAGTGACCAAGGAAGGCTTCCCAGAAAAGCCATCATTTGATCTGAGTTTTTACGGCCATCAGAATCAGCCAACAGAAGAGCATTCTAGACAGAGGGAACAGAATGCATAAAAAGTGGAAGCTTTAAGAGAAGTATGGTTATTTCCAGGTCCTGCATGTGGTTCAGTCCGAATGCAGCATGAAGTACAAGTCTGTGTATTGGGGGTGAGGATGGGAATGAAAGGAAATGAGGCAGGGAGGTAGGCAGGGGCCAAAACGCAGGACTTCATATACCATATTAAGAAATGTGGATTTTTATCTTAAAAGAGAGAGGCAGGAGGGAGGGGTTTGGGAGTATTTTAGTATCTTATTGGCAGTAACTTTTTAAAAGATTTTTGGTAACAATGTCAAGGTTCTGTTGAAAGAACATGTGAATTGGGGACCCAGGAGGAAGACCACAGCAGACACAGGCTGGGGGTACTGTAAGGAGCTGCCCAAGACAAACCCAGACACATCATGTGTAGGAAGTAGAATCCACAGGATTAAGTGGCTGTGGAAAGTGAGGGACAGGGGAGCGCTTGGTTACCCCCAGGGGTTTAGCACTGGCTACTGGGGAGGGTGGAGGTGTCTTCCACACGTTTGGGGAAAACAGGGAGATGGTCGCAATGAACGCTGCGAGAGGTCAGGTTTGTTCCACGCGTAGCAAATCGGCAGCTGAGCAGATCTAAATACATTTCCGCACCCCGTCCGTCCCCAGCGGCCCGGGCCCGGGGCCCTCGGTTCCCACGGCTCCCGCCCCCACCAGCAAAAGCCAGGCCGCCCCCCACCCCCACCAACGCTCAGCCTCAGGGGAGCGAGGAGAACCGCTCCCTCCTAGTTTCCTCCGCCGGGACTCCCCTTCCCCCTCCTCCGAAGCGGCTCTCCATTTCCTCTCCCGCCCACCCCGCCCGAGGAAGCACGAAAACAAACAGCCCCGCACCCCGGGCCTCACGCTTCCCGACCCGGGAGCTGCTCCCGCTGGGGCGGCCTCAGGGAGAGGAGGCATCCCGCCCCCGACTCCCGATGCCGGGAGCTCAGGAACTCTTCCCCTCGACCCCCGCCTTCCCCGCCTCAGCCCGGCCCCGCCTCCCCACGGGGAAACAGCCCAAAAAAGGGCAGAAAAGAAATTTTGGCGTAAAGTTGGCCAGCAAGAGACAAGAGAGTCGGCAAGGAGAAGGAAGGGAGGCAGAGCGCGCAGGGCAGCTGCGGCTATTGGAAAGCCCGCAGGGGGAGGGGGAGGAGACAGGAGGGCCGCGTCCCTGGGGGTGGGGGCGGGGAGCGCGCCTGGTCGGGCCCGGCGGGAGCCACGCGGAAAATATGCGGGGCACGTGGGGGGCAGGGCGGGCGGGGCGCGGAGCTGGGTACCTAGCCGCCCCGCCACCGTAGGAGGGGCGCTGCCTCAGGGGCAGGGGCTGGAAGGGGAAGCGAGGGGAAGAGAGGTCAGGCCCGCCCTCGGGGGCAGCAGGCCCGGCCTCGTTCCTCACTGGCTCGGGACCCTGGGCTCCCTTCCTGCCTCAGTTTCCCCAAGTCCCTGGTGAGACTCACCGCTGTCACTACCACGTCGGTAACGCTGACCCAGAGTCTGGGACTCGGGGTAAATTGAGGTACTCGAACCACGGAGGAGCCCCGCCTCCCAAGAGACATTTAATCCAGGGGGATTTACAGGAAACTTCTAAATTAAGGGCAGCGACCGCTGCAGCTGAGGGGGGCACGCGGGTCCCTGCGCCCGCGCAGCTGCCGTGAGCTCACGCCCCGAAATAGCCCCAGGGGCCCCAACCGCAGCTGTTACTGGGCCCGGCTGTCACTCAGAGGAACTTTAGAGCCCCCAGCCCGAGGGTCCCCTCCCCTCCGCAAGGCCAGAGTTTTTCCAGCAGACTGTACTAGCTACTTTACCTTCCGACGGCTGGGGGATGGGGGAGGGGAGGAGCCTCAAGGGGGGCGGTCTCGAGGGGGTGGGCGCAGGGGGCGGCCGCGTTCCCCCACCAGGCTGAGCTTCTGCCCCTACAAGGTTTGGGCCGCGGTGGGGGAGGGTCCCGGCCCCCGGCTCCGCCCGGCCCCTCCCAGCCTTTTAGGCGCCCGCGCTGCTGGGACATCCCAGTCCCGCTTGGTCCTCCTCGCCCTCCACCCGTGCGCCCAGTCCGCGCAGCCAGCCCAGTTCGTCCAGTCCACACTGCCCGCCGGCCGGCCCGCCCCCCCACCGCAGCCATGGACGCGATCAAGAAGAAGATGCAGATGCTAAAGCTGGACAAGGAGAATGCCATCGACCGTGCCGAGCAGGCCGAGGCCGACAAGAAGCAGGCTGAGGACCGCTGCAAGCAGGTGGGGGCCCCGGACCCAGTGCCGCGCTCTCCTCCCTAACGAGGGAGGGGTAGGCCCTGCCCTGTGCCCCCTAGCCTGAGGCCTGCGATTGCAGGCTTTCCCGTCCAGTGTGAGGGCTGGACTTTCACAGTACCATCCGGGACCCAGCCAAAGCCACACTTAATCTCACCCACCATACCTGGGCAGCTGCAGTCTCCCAATTTCCACACCTGCCCCTGCAGAACAATGATGGGTCCAGCTTCTTGGGGCTGGAAGCTTTATCTCTAGCCCCACCAGGTCCCTCTCAACACCCCTGGCTGCACTGTCCTTCCTCTGCTCTCCTGCTTCCTACCTGACAGCCTCTAAGTACCTTTTAGTAGCCCCCTCTCCCACAGCCGGGCCTCCTTCCTGAGCCCCCCGCCTAACTAACCAAGGCCTCTCCCTCCCAGCTGGAGGAGGAGCAGCAGGCCCTCCAGAAGAAGCTGAAGGGGACAGAGGATGAGGTGGAAAAGTATTCTGAGTCAGTGAAGGATGCCCAGGAGAAACTGGAACAGGCTGAGAAGAAGGCTACCGATGTGAGTGTGGACCTGGGATATGGTGGGAGAGTGCACTGGGAGGGGTCCCAGATACAGGAATGAAGGGAGAAGGGGACCTGGACATCCCCAGCACCAGGACAGAAATAGTTTCCTCTCAGAAACCCAGGCTAAGGCAAGGTTGCACAATTAATCTAAGGCAGTGGGTAAATCAAAACCACACACCATTTCCCGCAGAAGACGCAGCCTTGTAAGTCCATTTGGTTCTAGCTCTTAGAACGCCCAGTGATCAAGCAGTTAGTCATCGTGGGGGTTGGGGGTGGTACAAGAATTTACCATCTACCTCAATTAATCCTCTAGCTGAAAGTGGAGAAGAGGCTGTAGCTCCATTTGCAGGGTGTGGGGTGTGGGTGTAGGTACTACTGAGTAGGAGGAGGAAGAGGAATCCAGAGATGGGGCCTGACTTGAGTTACACCCCTGGGGGGCCATTAGAAATTCCCTGGCCTTGACCTCTGGCTCCAGCAGCCCTGCTGAGCACTGGGGCCCAGCTCAGGTTCTAATGGCCCCTCATTTACCCTCATTAAGCTGTCAGCCTTGAGACCATGCCAGACCACAGGAGGGAAGGACAGGGCCACAAATGCCAAGGCAGCCACCTTACCAAGTCCTGTTCACTCTGATATTTCTCTGTCCACCCTACATCCCCCTAACCACATTTCTCTACCTTCTGCCATTCCCAGCCCCCACCTTGAGGTTGAAGAATGGCCAAATGACCATCCAAATGACTTTGGTTATGATACTTGTACCATTCTCTGCCTCAGTTTCCCCACTTGCCTTCCATCCAGGATTAAAATGAGTCTATGATTGGAGGTATGGTAGGATTGGCAAAAGTAGGTCTGAACATTTGAGATCTGAGGTGACATTACTGTTTATGTTGACCATTATCCATGTTCCCCAACACCTTCCCGCCAAGGTTGGTTTCTCTGACCTCCAGGCTTGGTTTTGGTTCTCCACCAGCCCTGGCACTTGGGAGGGAACTGACCTGCAGCTGCTCGCAAAGGCAGCCCTGTGTGTTTGATGCTCTATAAATAACTAAGGCCCAGTGCAGCTGGAGGCAGGACTGGAAACCTAAGGAGCTGGGTGGGGGCTAGAGGGGAGGAGGGGAGGACAGGGACAGAGCTGGGGATGCAGGGCAGCAGTGCCAGGAGTCAGTAGCAAACACTGCCTGGACTTATTGTATGACCTTGAACACAGCACTTCACTTACACAATGCCTCAGTTTCTCCCTTCTCTCTTCACATTTATCCAGTGGGGACAGTAGTGCCTGTCCTGTGTTTGGAGAGCAGCATCTATAACTGGGAAGAGCTTGAGAAGTAGAAAATGGCAATTATCAGTCCTGTGATGAGGACCCCAGGACTTCCCAGACTTTTCAGAGTCATTTGTCATCTCACTATCACAAAGAGAGTTTTCCTTTTATCTTTCTCTAGAGTAGACCCCTAAGGTCCCCCAGAGTCATTCTTCCCAATCCCCACTGCTGTCCCCAGAATCCTTCCACACTGAGTCATCTGGTCCTCTGCCCATGATGAGCTTTTGTCACTCTAGGTGGCCTCAAGCACCTGGAGGACAAGCCACAACTTTATATGGTGCTGAGTTTCCCCTGCTGTTCAATACCACCCAGGACCTGCTTTCTACCTGCTCTGTCCCCAGGGCTGCCACCCATCCCTTCCCTCTTTCACTTCTTCCCCTACACTGGCCCTTTCTCCTTTCCAATCTTAAATCTCAAGGTCTTTGTCTCTGAGGGAGAGACAGGGATAACCTAACATTTATGGAGTGCAGACTCTGCAGACAGTGTGCCCAAGTGCTTGCCACATACTGTTTTACAATTTCCCAAACTTGGCTTATCATCAAAATCACTTGGAAGCTTAAAAAAAAAAGAAAGGGGTGGGGGAAGATTTCCAAGCTCCTGCCCTGGAAATCTTATTTCAGTGGACCTAGCATGGAGCTAGAAAGCCTGTTTTGTTTTACAAGCCCTTCCACGTGGTCTTGTTGATTATTAGAAGACCTGCATTACCTCAGAACCACCTACAGAAGAGGAACTGCTTGTGTCAACTCAGATTTAAAATTTAAAAAGGAGGAATCTGAGGCCTGGAGGGACTAAATAAGTTGCCCAAGGTCACCCAAGTGTAGAGTGGGTGAGCTGTAGCTGACTCAGAGCCCATGCTCTTAACACCAAACTTCAGTGCTTCTCTCATTTTCCTTTATTGGAGGCCCTTCTTGCTCTGCCTTCTTATTTTCATAAGGTATCATCATTTTCCGTGGACCATTCCCAAAACCTCCGTGGTTCTACTTCTACTGCAGATCTGGGGCTGCACATGTGTCATTCACACGGCCCTAGCACCGCCTCCAGGTGCCCCTGGCGGGGCGGGGCACTGTCCAGAAGCCCCTTGTTACAGCCACGGCTGTCTCCCTTCGGCCGGGCTAGGCTCCAAGCCCCTTACTGGGAGTCTGACTGGCAGCTGGTGACTCTGTGATTGGCTGTTTTTAGCAGTGGCGCTGTCTGGTTGGCTCGATTTTCCCCACCCCCTTGGGCCAGGCTTTGTTGTGGAGGAGTCAGAAGGACTCAGACCTGGTCTGAGCATGGAGCGCTTTCAGTGGGTACAGAAAGGCCTGCAGATAACCATCAGGAAACTATGCACAGCGCTAGAAGAGTCCCTGAAGCAGAGGAGTGGAGCTTGTTAAGGAATGCATGTTTTGGGCTGGAGTAGAGAATCCTGGATAGAAGATGGTTGGTTAGCAGGGTGGGGCGGGGGGGAAATAAGACTGAAAGTCTGGAAGCCAGGAAACAGATTCTTTCTGACAAGAATCTTACCATCCTCTGGAACCTCTCTGATCCTCATCCAAGGCAAAAAAAGCCCCCTGATCTCTGGCCTTTGACCCACAGGCCGAGGCAGATGTGGCCTCCCTGAACCGCCGCATTCAGCTGGTAGAGGAGGAGCTGGACCGGGCACAGGAGCGCCTGGCCACAGCCCTGCAGAAGCTGGAGGAGGCTGAGAAGGCAGCTGATGAGAGCGAGAGGTGGGCAGGGGGCCTCCCAGAGGGCGGGCCAGGCAGGGGCTGGCAGCCTGTCTCTGCTGGTCCTGACCCAACTTCTATCCCGCACCCTGCGTCTCAGAGGAATGAAGGTCATCGAAAACCGAGCCATGAAGGATGAGGAGAAGATGGAGCTGCAGGAGATGCAGCTGAAGGAGGCTAAGCACATCGCTGAGGATTCCGACCGCAAATATGAGGAGGTGACAGCCCTGCCCCACTTCTTTCTCCCTCCCAAACCACAGATGCTCCCAGCCACTCACCAGAGGTGTGCGCCTTCTGTCCCTCTCCCCCCAGGTGGCCAGGAAGCTGGTGATCCTGGAAGGAGAGCTGGAGCGCTCAGAAGAGAGAGCAGAGGTGGCTGAGAGGTAAGGAGACCCTGGGGCAGCAAGTGAAACTTGGCCTGGTCCATGGCTCTGGGGTACTCTGGACTGTGGGAAGCAGTTGCCCAGGCTTGGGGCCATAGGGCCAGGTCCTGTCCTCTGACCCCGAACTGCTGCCCCCAGCCGCGCCAGGCAGCTGGAGGAGGAACTCCGAACCATGGACCAGGCCCTCAAGTCCCTGATGGCCTCAGAAGAGGAGGTAGTGACCTCTCTGGACCTTTCTGGGCAGTGGTGCCTTCTCTCAGCTCACCTTCCCCCCAAGTCTCAGGCTGTTCTCTCACCTGCTGGGGGTTGGGAAGGGCCTGGGGCTTCCAAACTCTGCCTGCTGTCACTCTCACAACTTTGCTCTTCTCTTCTCTCTTCCACCCCTTCCTCACTGTGCGGTCTCCACTGTCTCCCACACTTTGCCCTCACACCCCCCCCACCACACACCCCCTGCAGTAAATGTGGGGACCTAGAGGAGGAGCTGAAAATTGTTACCAACAACTTGAAATCCCTGGAAGCCCAAGCGGACAAGGTAGAAGGGGGTAGACGGGCAGTTAGGATGGGGTCCTGCAGGGGAGGGAGGCGGTACGCTCAGGCAGGGAGGGGCTGGGTGTTCCCTGGAGACAAGATCAGGAGTAGCCTGTGGGCTCAGTGGAGTGAAGGATTTGTGGAGGCGACCTCCTGATGGCATGTGTATGTCCCTAAAAGTATTCCACCAAAGAAGATAAATATGAAGAGGAAATCAAACTGCTGGAGGAGAAGCTAAAAGAGGTGAGAGTCCTTCCCATCCCTGTTCTTCCCTCGAGCCCCAATCCCCGTCAGACTCTGCCTGTGGCAGGGACTTTGGGAATAGGGATGGAAGAGGAGGTTAACTTAAGTGAAAGTACCTGGGAGGGTCTAATTTTTGTCATTCCCCCTTCTTACCTTTACTCCCAGGCTGAGACCCGAGCAGAGTTTGCCGAGAGGTCTGTGGCAAAATTGGAGAAGACCATCGATGACCTGGAAGGTAAAGGGATATTCCCCTAATTCCCAAACCTTTTTAAGTGGTCTGTCCCATATTACATGTCCCAGATAAATTGGTGTTGGACCACCTAGGATTCCACCAGCTCCCAGGGCTGTGCCCACCATTCAAGTAGCTGCACCTGGGTGCGGTGTGCCCGCTCCAGTGCTTCTCGAACTTGAGCCCTGGTAGGGGCAATGCTGCTGGTCCTCAGACCACACTTTGAGTAGCACTGACCTAGACAATTTGTCCCCAAGTGCAACACAATAGCACTATATCACAAAGATCTCTTTATTAAAAATAGAGAGCTTTGGTTTAATATCTAAGTTTTCATGACATTAATGGGAAATACTATTTTAAGCTAGATTTGATGAAAATGAACATCCAGGTATTTGCTAATCTGTGGCTATTTCTCAGTAGTAGCAAGAATGTTGTACCTAAACTGTATTTTCTTTTTTTTTCTACGATAACCCTTTCACTTTTGTAATTCCCACTTCTCGTGCTTCTGGCCTTCTCGGCAAGCCTCAATTTTATCTCCAACTTTAGGACCTTTGTCCTTTCTGGCCCTAGCACCCTCCCCTAAAGCAAGCACTCCTACTCATTCAAAGCACTGTGCCCCCATGTCCCTGAGGGAGGTAGGAGCGCCAAGGAGAAGGACTGATTTAGGCTCCAGAGAAAAAAGAGACAGGGGTACAGAGAGGGGAAGAGGGAGCCCTCAGGGCTGTCCAGCCTGTTCTCTGGCCGATTTCTCCTACTCATCTTTGTCCACCTCTCTCTGATTCTTGTTCTCTCTTTCCATTACCCTCCTTCCTTTCCTCTTTCCCTTCATTCCCTCTCCCCACACTCCCATCTGGCTCCCTTCCCCTGGACCCCCACCCCCAGACGAAGTCTATGCACAGAAGATGAAGTACAAGGCCATCAGCGAGGAACTGGACAACGCACTCAACGACATCACCTCCCTCTGAGCCCCACGCCAGTGTGGCTCCCTCAGTCCCTTCTCTCTCCTCTTTCCGTTCTCAGTGGGGAGGGGGCAGGCAGGAGGAGCAAAATGGTCAGCATCACACAGCCAGGCTGGGCGCCGCCTCAAAGAGCCCCCACCACACCTGCCGCCCACCTTGGCACTTGCTTCGTCCTTCTATCCACCCACTCCACCCTCCAGCCTCTACCTCTCTCTGCTGCTTAATAAACTCAACTTGGTCTCCATGCTGTTTTCCTGCCCTCCAGAGATCACTTCCTCACCCCCTCAGAGACCCCGGCTTTTATAGACACCCCCAATCTTGCGAGCCCCACCCCCACACTGAGCTCACCCACAGAACACTGTGGCCCACACAGAACCCCCTTCACATGGCACTCTCACTCTGTCACTGTCTCACTGCTGCACGTTGGCACAAATCACGTCAGTCGCTGTGAGCCCTCTGCTGCTTCTGAGAGACACGCTCTTATGCTGACCTAGCCCTGTCACTGACCTCAGAGCACACCACTGCGGTTCCAGGATGAAGGAAGGACTGGAGAGGAGATGGGTGGGGAGGTGCCAAGGAAGGGCCAGAAGGTGGTGAAGGTCTGGGGTGACGTTTGGGAAAACCCTGCATCCCAACATGGGGCTTTCACTGCAGGTCTGGTTTCTGCCTCAAGCCTGTCTGTCTGGCCTTCCCCTTTCTGGCTCAGTCTTTGTCTTCCCTTCTGATTCCAACTCTCGTAAACCCTCTAGAGAAGGAGGTAAAGTAGTTTATGACTCAGGCCTCCCCATCCCACCCCCACGACCCCGAAGCCTTGAGTGAGGCATCTGTCTCTCTCTTGGTCAATCCGTCTATTTGCCCCTGGCACAGGATCTTAAGAGTCCTTCGTGCTTATGTCTTCCTGTGCCTTCATCCCATTTCAAATCTGCCTCATCCCCCATCTCCCCTCATGTCTCCCTGCCCCTCCTCACATGCTGCTTCCCCTCACAGAGACCTTGGCCAGTGCCAAGGAGGAGAACGTGGAGATACACCAGACTCTGGACCAGACCCTGCTGGAACTCAACAACCTGTGAGGGTTGCTCTGCCCCCAGCCGGGCTGCCTTCGCTGCCCCAACACAATAAAATGGATGTTACCTGCATCACGGGGCCCTTTCAACCTTTCTTTGATGTTAGCAATGGTGGTGGTAGTTTTCCAAAGTAGAAAGGCTGAGAGGATGCCCCGGGGGAGCAGTGGGGTGGAAGGGCCCGAGGGACCATACTCCACAGTAGGACTTCCTTTACCAAGGGAGCCAAGGGGTGGGGGCAGTGGGTTCCCGGAGGAGGGTTGTGAACAGATTGAGTGAAGCAGAGAGGCCCCTCTGGGCTGGGGGAACATCCAAACCCTTATTACCCACACCGCAAAGGAGCTGCAGTCAGCCATCCCGTGCCATTCCAGCAGCGGCCAGTCTGAAGGAAAAACTGCAAAGCTACACAGATTTTACTCGAGCAGGGTCAAAGCCTAAAAGCCTCACTATGATTTTAAGCCTAGAGGCTAAGCCTGCCCTACCCCCAGACACATATACTGCTGTGTGTGTGCCCAAGGTCATTCTAACTATCTCAGTCATTTCTACACCCTTCCCAAAAACATCTGTGCTAGGCAGTAATGCCCCCTCACCAAACTGTCCACACCCTGATCCTGTGAAAGGTTACCTTATGTGGGAAAAGGAACTTCATGATTAAGCTAAAGATTTTGAAATTAGGAAATTATCCTAAGTTACCCAAGTAGGCCCAATGTAATCATAAAGGTTCTTATAAGAGGGAGGCAAGGTCAAAGGCAGTTGTTAAGAGATATGACAATGGAAGCAAGAGGCTAGGGCGATAAGAGGAAGGGGCCACAAGCCAAGGAATATTTGGCTTCTAGAACCTGAAAAAGGAAACCTCCCCTCAAAGTGCCCAGAAGGAACCAGCCCTTACTGACACCTTGATTTTAGCCCGGAAGATTCATTGTGGATTTCTGACCTCCAGAACTTAAGAGGATAAATTTGCATTACCATTAAGTTTGTGGTGATTTTTAAAGGCAGCAATAGGAAATAAATACACCATCCTCCTGTTTGGGGAACAGAGCTGCCTTCCATATATTTTATTAACATTTATTTTAAAAAATATTTGGACCTTAAAAAGAAAGTGGTATAAAGGGTAGGATAGGACAAAGTCTCCAGCTCCCCCTCAGATTCTTCTGGCTGGCTTCTCTGCACATTCTCCAAGTTCCAAGGCCTCTAGGCAACAGTCTCCGTGACCTCTGCTGGGTGGTAGCTAACATTCCCTTTGGTCCCACTTCGGAATCTACACAACACAAAAGCCCAATCAGAAAACTCCAATGTGCATGAAACTGTTCTGGACTCATCGAAGAAAGTGGGCAGGTATACCTTTGCTGCCTCCTCATTTGCACAAGGAAGGCGATGCTTGTGACTGCAAAGAGGAGGCCAAAAACCAGGGCCAGGATGTCACCTGGAGGGAGAGGAGAGGCTGCCTCAGGGTGACGAGGAGTCTGTAGGATTCCCTCAGCCTGCTTCAGTGTATCCCCACCCTGCCCCCCCAGGTTCTCCAGCTGCCCTCAGTGTCAGAATCCAGAAGAGGCCCACAAAGGAATGGGGTTGGATACACAAGAAAGAATAAGATAAGCACCTCTTTTTCTTACCTAAAAGCAAAGTAAAAGAGGTTGTTTGAGAAGGAGGATGCTAGGAGATTTCTGTAGCTTCATTCTAATTAACTTTTGCCCTGGGGACAGTGGAACCCCCTCTCCCTTGATCTGACACTCTATCTAACTGGGGTTGGAGGTCTGTTCTGCAGAAAAAGGAGAAGGGGTAGGGGTGGTCCTAGCTCCTGAGGCTGAATGATGCCAAGGGGTCAGGGGCCAGAGATGGGGCACAGACTCACCAGCAGCAAGGCAGGAATTCAGGTGGACTGAAGAGGAAAAGGACACATCAGAACCAGGGTCTGTGACTGCCAGTGACAGACACAGGCACAAATGAAGACACATGGGAGGATGACGGACCTGGGGTGGGGGGTGGGGGGTGGGGCACGGGGCAGGGCACTATGGGTCACCACAAAGCTGCACCTGGCTCAACAGTCCTGGGGCTGCTCTCTGTTCCAGTGAGGAAGGAGGCCTCGATTATTCGCCCATTCAAAGGCTGCCTTGCTCGGAAGTTCAGTTGTAGCTGAGAGTCATCAGGTCCCCACAGGGAGCCAGAGAGGGTGTGGAGCTAGGGAAGTCAGGAGATGGCGGTGGGGGTAGGCTCATGACAAGAAAATGAAATGGTCACAGTCCTACTCACCGCCAGCACTCAGGGCTTCACCCGCTCTGCCCCCTCGTCCCCCATTCAGGGGCTTCATCTCTATATCCACCTTGATCACATCCCTACACCCCTTTTCCCCACATCCCGTGTCACCACCATGCCCCAGCCCCACCTGCTTCGCACTCAGCCTCACTGTCTGGTTGAACACAGTCCAGATGACCCCCTGGGCGCAGGGGGGTGTGGTTAGAGACCCCTCATAGCGGAAGTAGCGGCTGAGGTCAGAGGGCAGCAGCGCAGATACATCCAGGCCAGGGACCCAAGTCTCTGAGTCTGTGGAGAGGACCTGTGCCGGAATCCCACCTGGACTGCTTCCCTCCAAAGCTCTGGAGTATAGGGATACAGTTTCACCTCCCAGAAGCCAAGCTGATGCAACTTCCTGAGACCATTTCTTCACTAAGTGTGTCCCTTCCCATAACTCAGCACAAGACCTAACTCAGAATAAGGTAAAAAGTCTATGGGGCCTCACAGAGTGAAAAAAGTGCTCCCAAGGTCCTCCCTGAGTCTTCACTCTTATTCTGCATACTATGATAACATACTGAACTACAGATTTAAACCCAAAATGAATCAAAAGGAAAAAATGAGGGGGTGCCTGGGTGGCTCAGTGGGTTAAGCCTCTGCTTTAGGCTCAGGTCATGATCTCAGGGTCATAACCACCCCCATCAGGCTCTCTGCTCAGCAGGGAGCCTTTTTCCACCTCCCCCCACCCCACCCCTCTGCCTGCCTCTCTGCCTACTTGTGATCTCTCTCTCTGTGTCAAATAAATAAATAAAATTTTTTTAAAAAGGGGGGGTGGAAATGAGCAGAGTAACTTGTAAGTAAATATAAACATTTGAAACCATAAAAAACAGACACAAAACTCAAAAAAGCACAGTTCCCTCTAGTTTGGTAAAATGTAAGTTCCAATAGTGAGGTTTAAAATTACTTAGAGCGAGGGTGCACCTGGGTGGCTCAGCAGGTTAAGCCTCTGCCTTCAGCCCAGGTCATGATCTCAGGGTCCTGGAATCGAGCCCCAAATGGGGCTCTCTGCTCAGTAGGGAGCCTGCTTCCTCCTCTCTCTCTGCCTGCCTCTCTGCCTACTTGTGATCTCTGTCTGTCAAATAAATAAATAAAATCTTTAAAATAAAATTTAAAAAATAAATAAATAAAATCTTTTTAAAAAATAAAATAAAATTACTTAGAGTGACTGAAAAGGCAAAGATTTCCAACAAAAGTACAACTTTAAATATTTGATGCTTATGGAGGAGAAATAGAGAATTTTCAGAAAAAATTTAGCTCTCTGGACTCAGCATCTGAAGTTCCAAATACTTTTGGGGAGGGGGCTTGTTTTGTGTCTTCTTTTGGTTTTTGTTTTGATTTGGGGTTTTGTGGAGTTTTGGGTTTTTGGGGGGGTGGCGTGAGGTTTTTGTCTGTTTATTTTGGTTTTTAGCCATAAAGCCTGTGGGCCTCTGCTCAGCTTTGTAATTATTGTCAAGCTCACAGTCAGTTCATACGTTGGTTCCCTGCCTGTGGGAGGGAGCCCATCTCCATCCTCACTCCTGAGGGTTCCCAAGGACAGTTCTTTTTTTTTTTTTTTTTTTTTAAGATTTTATTTATTTATTTGACAGAGATCACAAGTAGGCAGAGAGGCAGGCAGAGAGAGAGAGAGAGGGAAGCAGGCTCCTTGCTGAGCAGAGAGCCACATGCGGGGCTCGATCCCAGGAACCTGAGATCATGACCCAAGCTGAAGGCAGAGGCTTTAACCCACTGAGCCACCCAGGTGCCCCCAGACAGTTCTTTATGAACAAGGGCATTGAGGGTAGTGGCCAAACCAACAAACTGACCTTCCTCAGTAATTTCTTCCAAATGTGACAGCAACTGCTCATAGGCACTGTTTTCTTCTGGACCTTCCTGGGAAATGATAGTTCAAGACAGGATTTTACAGGTATCCAAGGTCATGGCTGGAGGCCTGAAGGTGAGGTGGGCTTCCCATACTCTGGGAATGCTGGGAGAACACAAAATCTTGTGTATTACTACTCAGTGGGTTTACTTTTATTTGCAAACGAATTTAACCTGCTTGGTGGACTGATTTTCAATGGTAAGTTGGAGGAGAAGGTGGGTCACTTTCCTAGGATAGGAAGCCTCCAGTGACCTGGGTCCTACTATCTTTTCCAGTCTCACTGATCCTATGTCCACATACACACTCATGGTCTCCCCACAGAAAACCATAATAACCTTTGCATTCACATTTCCTCTACATTCACCTGAATAATTCATGTGTTTGCCTTTGGAGCAAGGACATGCTATCTCAGAGGCACTTCTCTGAACTTTGTGCTGTTGAGGCTGGCGTTAAAGAGTCAGTAAGGTAGTGACAGAGCCTAGAAGGTATCTCACCATCTGTCCATTTTACTAGCCTCTTCTAATCACTGTGTATGTAGCCTGGATCCATACAGGTCCAAAATGTCACTAAATACTTCTCTAGACTTCACTGCATTACACAAACTGGAAATTACAGGTTACAGGAGTATTCAAGAAATTACTCTTCCTGGCGTTCACCCCGCCCCCACCCCGTTCCACAGCCATTCCCTGAGTGGATATATTCTTACTCCACATACACTGTTGGCTCTGCATGGAACATCTTTTCTTTTCCACTACTGAAGGCTTCAAGTT